ACTTACTGCCATTTTCAAATATCTCACTTAGGTGCGGAATTGTGCATCTGCCCTTTGTGTAACAGGAGTTTTTCAACCAAGTTTGCTTTTAATCGTCATACAAAAACTGTGCACTCAGGTAATTCTATCCTTATTACCTTCTCAAAGTGTTGTCTGCTTTTCTATGACATCATTAATATTTGTGAAACTTAGCATCTTTTTACATATTTTTATAAACAAGATCCAAGCTTACTTCAGTTAGCAACATAAGCGCAATCAATAGTGTATAGGCCTAACCTCAGATCTTATCTTTCTAAATTTATAGATTCAATCAGCCTATGTTCCCCGTGTAATATGCTATTTCCATCAAAGTTCGCTCTTCTTGAACACAACCTTACGGTCCATAATAGTGAGTTCCCTACTTGTGAAACAGTACTAATTGAACATTTGACTTTTCAGCTTCAAAGGTGTTTGCTTGTCATGAATGTTTGAAATGTTTTCCTGATACAGAGTCACGAAGAAGCCACGAACAAAATGATCATGGTGGTAAGTAATATATTTGATAAGTCTGCATAACTAATTAACTTAATTATTTATAATATTTGTGGCCATGAATAAATAAAATCGACCTCCATGTATTCGGTAAACTAGGTATTAGCAGAACTTTAGTTGTCTTTTCGTTATACAGGAGCGAACATGGCCGCCTGGAGGTGCACTGTAAATTCTGAGAATATGAACTAAAGCACTTAATGGCTCCGGTTCAACATGCAAATCTGTCAACACAAAACGTTACTTGCACCTTTTACCCTCCATGGGGCATAAGACGTACATCCTCCTTATTATGTTTGAATTCCTACTTACAAGACTGTGTCTGAATTAGGGTGTATGCTTATGTAGCCCAAGATCTTGAAAAAAATGAACCAGTTAGTCAGCTTAGAGTATATTAAGATCTATCCTGGCTGTAGCGTAGATTCACCTTACAAGTTAACATAACATGGATTGATCAGTGGATGGCATAACAGACCTTAGAACTCATAATGGAGAACACATTTGAGTACAACACTGGACTACCTCAAATTTTCATCCGATAAGATCCCTGATTCATTTACACAAAAATCCAATACAATATGACGTGTATGAAATGTTGCTACTTAGTTCATGGTCGAATTTTTTATGAACATTAACTAGAATAATCTCATCTTTTTACCCCGTTTTATTTTTGAATTGTCACTCGTCATCTTGTCCCGCAACCTTGATGTTAATACTTCTACCCTACCTGCCTTCTACAGATAGCTATTTTAAACCAATCACAAAATCCCCTACCAAATCTATTTACGAAACCTATTCATAACGCCCACCAAGCAACCATCTACATTAACATATACAAGTAGCAAGTGGCATCGACTGCTTTGTAAACTTATTCAAATCGGAAGCTGAAGTAACGGAAAATTATCCGTTAGACAATCAAAAGAAGCCCGTTCTATTTTTAAATTGTCACTCGTCATCTTGTCCCGCAACCTTGATGTTAATACTTCTACCCTACCTGCCTTCTACAGATAGCTATTTTAAACCAATCACAAAATCCCCTACCAAATCTATTTACGAAACCTATTCATAACGCCCACCAAGCAACCATCTACATTAACATATACAAGTAGCAAGTGGCATCGACTGCTTTGTAAACTTATTCAAATTGGAAGCTGATGTAATGGAAAATTATCCGTTAGACAATCAAAAGAAGAAAGTCTCATCAGCCCTTGTGGTCTGGTGTGTGGCGAAATCTCAGCAAGGATACAAAAAGCTCAACTAGCTTTAGCCAACTTGAGTCATTTATGGCGTAGGCGAGATATCCGTCTACCAACCAAAGGACGTGTTTACTGCGCAGTAGTTCGTTCCGTCCTACTTTATGGAAGTGAAACATGGCCAGTAAGAGTAGAGGATATTCGTAGGTTACTAGTATTCGATCATCGATGTCTTCGAAACATTGCTCGTACTAGGTAAGGATGGCAAATCAATTGATGAAGTAGTGAAACTTCATCAGCTGAGATGGCTGGGACACGTGTTACGTATGCCCGACCACCGGCTGCCTCTACGTGCGATGCTCAACGGTATAGGAGTAGATTGGAAGAAAGCTAGGGGTGGCCAGACCAAAGCATGGCACAAATCCATGACGTCACTGACAAGTGGACTGAGCCATGTTGGTAGGTGTAGACTACCTGGTTGGGATCCGCGAGATGATAGCAACCGATGGTTAGAAACCTTGAATGACATAGCTCAAAATCGTTTGCAATGACGCAGGTGCATCTACCAAATTCTAATCTTTTTGAATTCTCCTTGTCTCTTTTTTCTCTTTCCAAATTTATTTCAATGGATTATACTTTTTGGATAAATCTTCAAACCCTAATCTTCCTGACTACGGCTTATACTTTTTTCCGTTTTCCACTATAGGATTTGAATCGATAACTGCACCTCTGTGCTAATGTGATGTGGCAATTGGAAGTGATGTACGTACGTAAGTACGAAGTTCCACGTTGTCACTGTCTGACCATTTGAGTCTAGCTGCACAACTTACGGGTTTGTTGAAATAAGACTGTGAACGTTTTTCATCCTAATAAATGACTTCCTCCTTTTGTCTTACGTTGAAAGAAGTGAAAGTCACAACAAAAACTATAATTAATCGGTATCTTTTACGTACGTTAAACACTCGTGTGCCATAACTTCATCAATCGTCCACAATCTATTACTTTTCGCTGCGTTTCACAAATAATGGTTATATGGAGTTAAAAATTTGTTTAAAGTCTTTCAGATTTCATTCTTCATACCTAAACCATGTTTTGTCGTTTACTAGTACTAATCCTAACGTTTCGACACATTTGAACTGGTTCCATTTCATCTGAGCTGCAGTCAATGGGAGCGTAGGCAGAAACGACAAAAGGGCAACGACGTGTGTCCCTATCCTTCCGAGTTCTTACGGAGCCGTTTAGCCGAACAGCACATAGACGACTGTTGACGGGGATCCACTCTAACAGTGCTTGTTCCGCCCTCATGCTTAGTGCTATGCCTACTCCTGCCAGTCCACGAGAGCTGGCCATCGGGTCACCAGATACACGTAGGGTGTATCTCGTTGGCTCTCCGTTTTGCCGAGGTGAGGTCAAGTGAATGACCACACTGGGATCCTGTATGCGTGTTTCGGAGACACAGCATACATCAGTGGTACGAGATTCTAGGGTTTTAGCCAAGGAAGCCTGCTGACCGATTTGACATAGGGTGCGTACGTTGAAGACCCCAATGTGTAGTGTAGAGCGAGGTTTCAGTAGACCTGGGACAGTGTTTTGAGCACTAGAATCGATGGGGGAAGCCGAAAAAAGAATGATGTATGAGGAATAATAGGAATTGAAGAGGGAGGTTGATTATGGATACAGTGGTCTTGAGTACTGTTAGAGCTATGAGGGCGGTTATCACTTCCCGGTTTCCCACACCGTGGAAGGGTTCTTCTGGAGGTACCTGAAAAGGAAGTCGGATTACAAGTGGTCTTAGTGACCTGGGAGCGTGACCACAGTGCCCAAGAGACAACTGCTTGAGGTCGGTCACACACGACCTTTTTATGAGCAATTTTTGTGTTAGCTCTGTACTTGTTGAGACTTTACCGCCGGAGACGGATATCCGTGGGATAAGGCGAGGTGTGCATTTTTAGGGTCGACCTTTTCTCACCCCACCCCTCCTTGTGGGAAGGCAGCATCGCTGTCATGCTGGTTGTCTGAAGGAAACACCTTACTGCTGTCACACCTCTGTACAGTCAGCAGTACGACTTCGCCTTCGGACCTTGGGTTTGTTGCTTTTAGTCTTACCGCTCTTCAACCGACCTGTCTGACATGGTAGGACCTTGAGGAACGGTTGTTCCAGCCAGTATAGCTCGGTTGCTTCATCACGATAGGCAAGCCCGACCACCACGTCAAGGATGCAACAACGGTCGGGTTTGTTCGTCAGAAACGGAGTCAGATGATGGGACTCTAAGAAAGAAATAACGTAATTTCAGGTTAAAAACTTCCTTCATATATGTAACTTCACTTGATACCATCAATTCTAATTGAAAACTCTCACAAGATAAAGTGATTGACTCAATAACCCAGTATAAACCCATATACACGGCTTTGAACCAAACTTTGCGTATTCAAACTGAAGTAGATATAGCAGGACTCGGATATGCGACTAAATTTTGAGTGCTAAAGTGTTTGCTGGTCATGTCTGTGTTTTAATGCCAACCAATGTTCAGATATGAAACAGTTTACATTGAAACCTGGTACTCGTGATATTTAAAAGAATTGTTTTGTATGGTTCTAATCAATAGACGGTAAATTGACTGTATTTTCCCCTACAAACAGTCAAAACAGCTTCTGACTTCGAAAATTGGAATACAACCAACTGCATATAAGCTGATGTAAATATAACCAAGAAAATATCCAGAAAAGAATGTAGATACCTAGTTACATAGAAAACTAAGCGAGGTCACGGGCCTTTGTACTTTCATCTTATTGTTTACTGAGATTTAAAAAAAAAAAACATAATGTAGCTGTTTTCTACACCTTATATATCGCACGAAAGTTAAGGAAACAGTACTGAGGTAATGTTGAATAATGACTAAGTATCCTTTGTTTCAATTATTCTTTTTTTTTCTGTAGTTGGGACTTCAAACATGTATTCGCCAACGACGCAATCATCTTAAAATAAAAATTTCTTACGCTTCCAACAAGCTACTTGAACAATGTATAGAGTGACTTCGTAAATTTCATTGTTTACAAACGAATTTCTATGCATCTTGGATGTATCAGGCACTGTGACCATGTACATACAAATAATATTGTTCTTTTTTTTGTTTACCCTAAATTTTGTCTATAAATATCGCAGCGTATTACATTATATTTCATGTGCTTATACACCAGTTTAAAAATCATGAATATATCAGAATTGCTCTCAAGCACTTTATTGGTTCTTTCGCGTTCCCTGAACATCTGGAGCAATCATTATTTCCTAGATGAACCTTTTTTGATGCTTTTCTTATTATGTAAGGATTTAGCGCAAGTAGGACAAAACCACCGACCTTTTGGTGCAACGGTTAGGTTCACGCAAGCGTAGTGAAACCATTCGAAGGGGCAGTCTGGGGCGTCGCATGCTATCATGTCACCATAACTCACATCTCGGCATATACAGTAACGCTTGTAATCTTCATCATCATCTGGTGGGTCGGTAGTATCTTCTGGTTTCGGATTTCCACTAAATTCATACGTTTGATCGTCAAATCCATGCCCCAGCGTTGCATTGACACTAGAATTAGGTGAATCACCAAGCTTTCCGAACTCATCAACTGCAAGGTCACATGCTAGCCCTATTCTATCAAATCTTCGCGAGTATCGGCGTTTCTCCCGAACACTAGAAAAACTTTGTGTTAAACCGGGCCATCCGGGTGAACTGATGTTGTCTGTCACTTGATTCTCAATTGAACCTGCCTTTGGTGTTAAATTGAGCTTGTCACGATCTGTAAAGTTAGGTTCTGCTGTGTCGTAAAATAAATGACCACTGGAAGAGTTAGTACTTTTAATAATACGATCGTGCATTCCAGTATGAGTCTTAGCATCCAGCGATATATCTGGTAGCAAGCTCGAATTGTTTTTCAAAATTGTGGAAAATCCAGCACCTGCATTGTGAACGCTTGCAGTATCCTCTTCGAACTTTGTAACTCCTCCAGTTTGTGGATTAATCCTGTAAAACCCAAAACAAAAGATTACCATGCAAGCATTTTATGACATTATATGGGTTTTCCGTAACATCGTATCTGATTAAAAAACTCAGAATACTCACAAAAACACCTGGTTCCTTTCCCAGTGTAAATCCATCTAATATACTAAGCGCAGCGAAAATGTATATTTTCGTTACAGTTACTAACAATTACTCGTGAATAGTTCTGAGTTATCGTTTATGGGTTCTAATCACTGACGATAAACGTCTATACCACAAATCGACCTAAAGAAGATCACTTAATTGTGAATACTCCAAAGTCCTAATACATGCCATTTAGATCCAGTTGTGTCACTGGGTTTCTGAACGTGGTATTTTGTACATGGTGTAGCGCGTGCTACCTATATTGACATAAGTAGTATGTAACGCGAGTCAGGAATGTAATGTCTGGCAGCAGAAGATTGGGAAGGTCAAGAAAGGAATAGAAATGCAAGAACAATGAACTCCGAAACAATTATTGAACATTCTGCAAATTAGGTATTACAGTATCTAAAATACTAGCCCCGATAATTATCAGACGCCTAACTAAGACTCGTGAACTGCAAACACGAGAGAACCAAGCTGGCTTCAGACCTGGTCGTGGCTGCATCGACCACATATTCACCATTCGTCAGATTCTAGAACACAGGCATACTTATCAGCGTCCGACAATGGTGGTCTTTCTCGACTTAAAAGCAGCATTTGACTCTGTAGACCGCGAGATTCTGTCGCAGTGTCTGTCATTGAAAGGCGTACCACAGAAGTACATAAACCTCGTGAGGGCTCTTTACTCGAATACTACTAGTCGAGTCAGGGCTTCTGGCGAACTGTCATCTGATTTTGCAAACTCGAGTGCTGTCTGTCAAGGCTGTCCACTGTCTCCACTATTGTTTAAGTTCATCATACACCTACTTATGGAAATAACGCCATCATCGACTGAACTTTCAGGAACTGATCTCCTACCAGGAGGCCCACTTATCGACTTAGAATACGCAGATGACATAGTCCTGTTTGGTGAAGACGCTGATAAAATGCTGAGTCTTTTGGTAGCACTAAGCAACAATGCCAGAATGTTTGGAATGCGCTTCTCTCCCTCTAAATGCAAGTTGTTGCTTCAGGACTGGTCTGCGTCAACACCTGAACTAAGGATAGGGAGTGAAGTAGTCGAGCGCGTTGGCAACTTCACTTGTACTGAAAGTCTGATCAGCCCTAATGGGTTGGTGTCTGACGACATTTCTGCACGGATTCGAAAAGCTTGTTTGACTTTCGTCAACTGACGTCACCTATGGCGAAGGCAAGATATCCGTCTATCAATAAAAGGACGAGTATACTGCGCGGCAGTCCGTTCTGTTTTAATTTACGGCAGCGAAACATGGCCTTTAAGAGTAGAAGACACTCGTAAGCTATTAGTATTTGACCACAGATGCCTTAGAAATATTGCTGGCGTCTGCTGGGATCACCGGGTAAGTAATAGTGAGGTTAGACGCAGGGTATTAGGGAATGGTGGTAAATCAGTTGATGAGGTTATGAATCTTCATCGACCGAGATGGTTGGGCCACGTGTTACGTATGCCTGAATACCGATTACCACGACGTGCAATGCTATCCGGTGTTGGAAATGGTTGAAAGAAAGTTAGGGGCGGCCAAACCAAAACGTGGCATCAGTGCTTGAAGTCACTAACTTCTAGTCTGAGCCATGTTGGTAGATGCAGACTACTTGGTTGGGGTCCGCGTGACTGTCGTAACCAATGGTTGGAGACTGTAGGTGACATGGCTCAGAATCGATCACAATGGCGTCGGTGTATACACTCTTTGTCGTCCCTTAAACTAAGAGATTAAAATCGCTTCATACCTCTCTTTCTGCGAACCCATTTTTCTTCTTGTACTATATCTCTATATGCAATCTTTCTCTTATATATTACCACCTTTGACCTAACCACTGCTATGAATCCGGTGTTCATCTTGTTGTGCTGATGTAGTATGGCAACCTGGACCGATGCACATATGTGCCTGGTCCTACGTTGTAGCTGACTGACAGACTGACTGTATCGTTTTTCTATTTTACCAAGTAACTCTGTAATGTTGTGCTAAATATAATTCGATTGTCTTCAACTGTGTTCTCCTTCACTACAATAGTACCTTACCTTTTCAAATGATATTAATACTCGCCGAATTATAGCATGACTTAAAAGAAAAACAAGTAAAGCCTGGAAACGTAGTATTTAGAAATAGAAACTTTGATCCTTAGGAAGTTTATTTAGTTTAAAGGGATAACAAACATGGGAGCTAGTATGCATAACTACCGGTAATTGCTGAGTCCTAATTCAAGAGGCTAATTCTCATTAAACCATGTGAAAAGTCATTGTCAAAAGATATCCCGATTATTTTCAATAAATTTATGGGAACTGTAGGTTCTTGATGATGGTCACAACTGTACACATTTTACTGTTTCACTAGGACGTTGTCACTAGGCGAAAGTTGATATCGCGCTGAAATCGTTGGTGATAGGTTATGCAATCGTATTCTGATCACTAATAACACTAACTGAAAACAGTGAAAGGTGTATATGATCGTAATCAGGCATCATAAAGCTAGGATTTCCATACTAAAAATGAACAACACATGACAAGGGGGTTTTCCCGTGCAATTCATGCATTTTAAATTATTCAAAGGAAATTGGAACTTACGTTTCAAAGGTTCTGTCGTAGGAACTGTCACTGGACTGATGGTCCAAACATATTGAGTCTACAAACAAAAATATTTTCAAGAAAGTGAAGTGGAATGTGACAAGGATTTTCCACTTAAATATTGGTTTTCGATATATCAACGTATGACAGAAAACTTTGAAAAATATATGTACTTTTAGCATTTTAGGATTCGTGTTTGATTCATGGTTATTAACAAATATTTGTTCTCTTTTGTGAAGATATTTGTAAAATGAGTCCCTACAAACATAATTTCATAAATATCCGCCTTATAACCAGTCAGCATAGGCTTATGGAGATTGAGTTTCATTCATATTATGAACTGATCAATCTTAAACTACCTAGAACCCATACACTGACAACCATCATGTGCTTGCGCCCCCCACTCGACATTGATCGAATTTCCAAAAGCTAAAGTAATCTGAAACGAGGAAGAGCAGATGAATTAACTCCAGAGGTCTGACGTAACATCGCTCTTATGTATTTATCGACTCTGTTGGTTTTACAATTTTACTGCTCTTACCTGACAACCAGGAACCAGTGGAATTCTACTGCTTAGACTTTGAGACGGGAACCACTTGGATTCACACGGCACAAAGAACATCAAAGACTGGTGCAATGATGATTTACTGACTCTCCGAAAACACGTCCTTAAACAAGTTTCTAGATGGTGTCATCATGAGGCTAACATACATTCATTATATACTAAGTTTTATACAACTAATAATACCACGTACAGCTTAGCCGAATTATTTCAGCTGCAAACACAGGCAACAGTATAAATATAACCCGGTGCCCTGTGGTATTATTTGACGGATGAGAACTTTGATGAAAAGCGATAAATATACTATCCAAACCAAGAAAAATTACGCATAAATCTCACAAACATACGTGGCCAGTAAATATTGAGTTTTCATGTTGCTGGATATCCATTCTATCTAAAGTAACAGTGAGTATATAATTCAAATACATGCGCACAAGAAAAGACGCTGAACGCTGCTTTATACGACCCAATATCAACTTGTTTTATTGCTGAGTGAAGTGCGGGTATATTGAAAAATGTAAACTTACTTTCGTCAATTGATCTAAGAGGACTTAGGCCATCCGCATGAACAGGGTTCTTTCTGTAGGATCCTGTGTCTTGAACATGACATCCAGAAGTTGAGATTAAACTGGAGTTATTAAAAGACGTTTGGTCACCATTTAGTGAGAACTTAGTATTTTCCAGAGACGGCACTCCCCCCGATTGCATGGGTCTCATGCAAGCAGATTTAAGTGCTGCTCTGAAAGCCGGCCCAACCAATCGTCTTCTCACTGAGAAGTTATTTTTGCAATGACTAGATTGCTGAAATCGCAGTCTTTGTCTTCTACCTAAAAGCGTATGTTAATTAAGAAATAACCAACGTTCTGCCTTCGAATTTGTTGTTATTGCTTTCCCCAGTGCATTCTGAACTCCTTAAGTGCAATATTCTTAATAAAATAACCTACTTTTTTCTATTTGTTCTGTTATTCCTGAATTATCAGCCTCTAATTCAATTCGGAACTTTTCCAACTCAATATCCAATTTTCTCACTAATTTACGGTACTTTGAGATAGGAGTTATAACGAATTATCATACTGTGTTATACATATTTTCCACTATTTCTCGTTTGTCCTTGCAATGAACAAGTGCTCGCTCATATTCCTGTTGAGATTCGTAATAACATGCCACACGTTACCCGAGTAATATTAAGAATCTGAGTACTTTTCTCATATTCTAAGAGTTTACCAAACCTGCAGTTTTCGAAAAACGTCTGTATGGTTTCTGATAGCGAATCTAAAATATCTTGAAAATTGAATATTATGTCTTTTTTAAAGTTACTTTGAGCTTGTAGGTCTAGCTGTCTAACATTTGTAAGGCTTTCATTTAGCTCAGATGGCATATTTTCAATTGCTGTAGATGCCACTTAACAAATTTAGATTTACCTTCCATGAAATCCTCAAAGTACAACATTTTTGTTGTAGGTTTAAACCAAATAAGTAGTTTTAGAGGATCAGTTTGGTTGATTTACACATCAGTATAAAACAAGAGTATTGAAGCTTGTTCTAAAACAATGGAAAAGAAAAACAACTACTAAATAAGGCACAGTAAAATCATCAAACTACTGTTATTAAGTATTTAGTCATATAACTAATTGGTGGAATAATCACTGAACTGTTCGTGAACACAGTGGTATCACTCAGTCACGCTGGTTTATGATACATAAGTAAAACACGACAAAGGATGAATTTGAAGCAGAACATCCAAATGAACCACGTTTTAGAGAACAAAGGATGTGATAGATCTTCGTTGTCTTTTGTTAATCCATGCTAGGTGCGGCCGAAAATGTTTTATTTGAGCGGGACAGCTACTATCATACTTCATTGTGTCCAGCGGTTTATGTTGGTCAGGCAGCAACATAATGCTTTTCATTAGTTGAATATAACTTAGGTCCAAATAGATTAACGAAGTGCACAATGGCAAAATGCAAAGTTTCAGTAAAGTATATGGATTGAACGTAAGTGACTTGTTGCTACCTACGGCCCCCACGTGTACTGGTACAGCCGTGGAGCGGAGAGTCAGCTCTCCCTCTCGAAATGCTCTTGCATGGTCACGCGTATACAGCCACTATCACGGAAGTCATACTCACTGCCTTCTCGTGGCACTATTGTTGTTTACGAAATTAAGAGGACAAAAAGCGGATGTCTGGCGCTTTAACCGGGTTAATAGATATGGAAAGTCCATCTAGGGGAATTGGAAAACCCTAGTTCCGAACAAATGGTGCACATGGGCTCCAGAATCCTAAGGCAACAAATGACGTATGAACCTATTGTTGGTCACTGACCACCATGGGACTGCACTCCTAGCGTTGCTCCACTGTCTTGTGGATTAGACCTTTCGTCCAAAGGCTCGGGGTGTGACCACCTAAGAAAACCACCTTCGGTTTCGGTAATCGGGCAATACCACAGCTCCCACACAAGTCAATACTAACTACTACTGGCCTCATTTCTATTGTATGGCGCATATGTATTTGGTACCCCTTTGTACCAATGGACAAAGTTAGTGGTCTTATAAACTGTGTTACACCATTATCCATATTCCTCTAACCTTTTAATAGGTATCATATGCTAGCAATCACAACGTGGATGCACGCAGAATAACATATCAAAACACTTTAGTCGATGAAGCTTCAACATGCATCAACTTATCTACGAATCCAAACTACCACTCTCCCTAACATTAATGTTACTAAATCAGTGGTTCTACTATACATAAACAATGAATAGTGTACATAGGATCAAATACTTGTAATCTGCATATGATCTCGACATTCAAATATGCGTTACAACTGTCATACAACACAGATGTACGTCATATATGCCCTCACACAGTCAAAAAGTGGGGAAAGTTGATGGCATGCATTCATATTCATCTCACTACTAAAATTGTTGAAATAGTTAACACGCCTAATTACATCACTCGCTATCATTAAACTAGCCATTAATGCGGACAAGTTTCAAGGTAACACTTCGAATTTAGGTGAAAAGCATCTTGTACTTTCAATCAAGACATCGTTAGCCAAGACCTGAAAACTACTGGACACTGCTGCTCGGTAGCCGCCAAAGGTTTTAGAACCCTATCGTCAACACGTATGATCTTTAGCCATGTCTATAATAAAATAGCACGTTAATTTCAAAAAGGGCAGTGAATTTTGTACTTGTGGTGATTATACTTGCTTTTGGTACTTATTGCACTAAAAAGCATTCTTGGTCGACTTTAACTAAGAGTTCTTTGGTTAAAGTTTGAAATTTTTGCTACATTTTGTCCTGAGTACCTGTTTTTAGTCCTTGACTAACACTTGTGTTCACATTGTTATCATTTTTTGTTTTTAAACCTTTTAAATCGAATTACAATGGTTGGTAAGACTCACAAATGTGGGCAACCAAACTGTTTGTTCCCTGTGGAAGAGGAGATGCAGTGTGACGAATGCCATAAGTGGTTTCACAAAATGTGCACCCGCTTAAGTCCCACCGCATACAAAAGATGCTCGAAGCCTAACTCACATTGGCTTTGCATGTTTTGCTGTGCCAACAAGGCATTACTAATACAGAAGGCTATGAGCCTGTTGGCTTTGGCCTGTAAAAAGAAGGATGGCATATGCGCTGACAACACGGGCACTGACAGCGACGAATGTGTCAGTGTAGTACCTGCTGTTACGCGACGCCTCAAACAACCGACTCTGACCGACGTAAAAGTGGAATCTTCGTTGACATTAACAGGGGGAGTAGTACCACCTGGTACTGACATTGTTAATAATGCACCTTTAATGGGAACCGAAGATCTGGATAAAACAGTCACCGTTCCAAATAGTCCCAGTGTTATGAGGGATGAAAAATGGACTACGGTACGTAGGAAACGAAACGAAAAGAAAAAAGCTGTAAGCAGTACACAGGTAGTTAGTAACTCACTGGTGGACCCAAATTGTGAGCCACAAATTGCACTACCAAAATCTGAAGGTAAGAGTGAAACCCATCCTGGCGTGACTGAGAAGAAAAATCTAATAACATCGAATATTATTGTGAGCAAATCGCGGGAGTCAAGCGACCCTGATCCGAAAATTAGACACGCTCATGACTTAGAAAAGCTAGGAGAATACATTCGTAGTATTTTACCAGATAACTCCAAAGGAGTTCAGGTCAAAAAATTGGTAAGAATAGGCAAGAGGACCGAGGACAATGTTGAACCCCGTCCATGCAGACTCCTTAAGGTAATCCTAGGATCGGAGAAGCAACGGGATCTCTTGTTAAGTAGCGCTCGTTGTCACGACAATTCTGACATCCGAGTTAGACCTGACATGTCTCTCGAAGATAGAATAAAAAGGAAGAAAGCACTAGCTGAACTTGAAACCCGTCGGCAAAACGGCGAGGAAAATCTCCGACTAGTGGGTTTTCGGATAGTCAGGTCTTGGAAGCGAATGCTACCAAGGCCTGTGTGGATAGGCTGTTCTACTTAGGAGTTTTATATGCCAACGCTCGTAGTTTACGAAATAAGTTCTATGAACTAGAAGCACTAGTAGACAGGTTAAAGCCACTCATAGTAGCAGTGACAGAAACTTGGTTAGTCCATGACTTAGACATTACTCCAGAATTATCCAGATACCATTGCATCAGGAGTGATAGACATAGATGTAGAAAAGGAGGCGGCGTCCTGTTATATATAGCCAATGGCATAAATATCCGCTCCTCTATTAGCGAATCCCATGATAGCGGCACTTGTGAAGTCATTAGCTGTAAGTTGGCTATAGGATGTAGTACATTTATACTAGGTGTCATTTATCGGAGCCCAATCTGCTTAGCTGATGACTTTGTTTTAGAGCACATTCATCTTTGGAGTGATAATACCAGGTGCTTGATAATAGGAGACTTTAACGCACCTGATATTAGTTGGACTGATATGACCACAGAAGGATCTATAAACTCCTTTGATAGTAGGTCACTGATAACAATAATGGAGCATGCACTAGTGCAGCATGTATCCCAACCCACACGTTTTGGTGTTAACCAGGGTTCTTCTCTGCTGGATTTGGTAATCACTCATGAGACTGAGGATATTGTCGACCTAAATATTCTTCCACCGTTAGTAAACAGCGATCACGCTGTTTTGTCATTCGCGTTTAGAACTAGGGACATGTTATACGATCAGGTTACACCGCGCCCAAATGTATGGAAAGCTAACATATCAGCCATTCAGGAATGCGCTGCTAAGACAAATTGGTTAGTAGATACTAGCATATCAGTTGAAGAAGCATGGTCTGTATTTAAAGGTAAATTTAGACTAGTTACGTCCCCGTTCATACCATACCTGGTACCGCGAAGACCGAATAATAGTCCACCATGGATAACTAAAACGGTCAGGAAACTCCTTAGAAAAAGGAAAAATCACTGGAATATGTTCATCTCTACTGGCTTAGAACAATACAGATCCAGTTATTGTAAGATTAGGAATGCCTGTAAAGCGTTAATAAGCAAGACTAGACATTCATACGAAAAAATTGGTTAGGGATTCTAGATATAATCCGAAACGGTTATTCTCGTATATAAAAAGGCGAACTAATAGAAGCGATGGAATTCCATCACTTTTGATACGAGACAATCCGTTAATCTTAGCAGAGAATGATGCCGAAAAAGCTGAAGCTTTATCGGAATATTTTAGTAAAGTGTTTTCTATCGGTAATGAGGAACGACCAATGATTCATCGTGACCGTGACGGCTCGCTGATGGATCCTGTAGTCACTGAGAAAGATACTGTTTTAAGGCTACTTCAGCATCTCAAACCTGATAAGTCCAGTGGTCCCGATGATATTTATCCTAGGATTATGAAAGCCATATCAGATGAAATTGCTGAACCATTAGCGATACTATTCGACATGTCTCTGAGACAGTCCAGACTTCCTAGAGACTGGAAAGACGCCATAATAAGTCCGGTGTATAAGGCTGGGAGTAGGGATTTAGTTAGTAACTATAGACTCGTTAGCTTAGCTAGTGCAGTTGTGAAACTGATGGAGAAAATCATTCGGATAGCTGTTATAAACTATGTTGAAGGGCAAAATCTTTTCTCCAGGGCACAACATGGTTTTCGGAAAGGCCTATCTTGCTTGACAAATCTTCTCATTGCACGAGAAGAGTGGGCTGCGGCAAAGGATCGGAATGCTCCTGTGGATGTAATTTTCATAGATCTAAGTAAAGCCTTTGATAAGGTTTCACACTCTGGTCTTAAATTCAAACTGAAACGTTTTGGAATCCATAACACAGTCGTCGATTGGATAAGTAACTTTCTCCATGACAGGAGACAAAGGGTAAGGGTTAATGGGGCTCTCTTCGTGGGTACCTGTAAAAAGTGGGGTTCCCCAAGGCACAATCCTAGGTCCTCTTCTCTTTTTACTTTATGTAAATGAATTGCCAACTGTAGCAAAA